GCCTCGACACGCGCACTCGGCGCAGCGCGAAGCCGCGCAGGCGCCGCAGGTCAACGCGCATGGCTTCTCTGCAGCACCCGCCAGGCTGACGACGGTGTGGCTGTGACTCAGAGAGACGCGAACCACGTGCGGAGCTGCGTCGCCACTCGTCGCGGTGAGCGATTTGAGCGTGGTGAGCACTGCCCAGACGAGAAGCACAGTCAGGGCGCCGCGGCGGAGCTCGGCGAATGACATAGCTGGCGTGCGGGAGGTAGCCGACCCTAAGGTAGCCGACCCTCGATTCCATGCTGGCGCCGCGTCGGCGGGCGCTGAGAGAAACAAATCGCGCGGCCGAGAGCCGTTCGTGCCGTCCTCCCATCCCTCCCTTGGGTTGTCTGTTTTCTTTCTTTTCCGTTCGCGCAACAAGGGGCAATCTCCCTGACGGCCGGGTACCTATACGTAAGACCACGGCCGGGTGAAAGAAAGAAACCGTGTAAAAAACACGAGCTGCTTTCGAGCAACGCCACTTCGCTCCACAACCGCCCCGCCACTCCTGCCGTGCGCGATCCCGGCCTCCGACACGGTCTTCGAAATTGTTGGTGCGTGCTCTTCTTCTCTCCGGGGGGGATTTTTAGCAATACCAAACAACTCTAACACTCACACGTCATTTAACAAAACCTCGTCATTTGTGTTTTGTCGTCATTTGGGGCCTGCCCTGTTCACGCGCGCGCGAGACGTGCAGACAGGGGTTGCCAGGTGAGAGCGAATGGCGCGGTTCACGCCTCGCACAACAGACCGTCTCTCCGGCTGGTAGTCGACAAGCTGCCGAGCCCAAATCACTGTGTGTGACACATTTCTTGTTGGCTTCTAAAAATCTCTCTCTGACGCATGTGTCCGTACGTCCTGCGCGGACGTAAGAAAGAAAGAAAGAACGCAACCCAAGGGAGGGATGGGAGGACGGCACGCCGCCACCACACAGGGATTTTAAGGAGAGGAGTGTGGTGCTAGCCGTCGCCCACCCTAACCCTTGGGCGTCTGCCTCTTTCTCTCTCCCTTCGCAGTCCCTCGCCGATTCTCGCTGCAGCCTTCATGCCACCTCGCGGTCGCCCCACTCTCGTCGTTCTCCCTCCTGCGAAAGAAGAAAGAAAGAAAACAGCCAACCCAAGGGAGGGATGAGGACGGCGCCGCGACCATAGGAAAAAATCTTGAGCCTAACACGTTGGACAGACGGCGCCGATAAGATAGGCTGCTTCCCGCGATCGTCTCGCCCTCCCTCACTGGTGTGTTCATTGGGGGGGTCCTCCTAGCGAGATGCTCCGCTGCCTCCTGCTCGCGGCCTGCGGCGCAGCCGTGGCCGGTCAGGCTTGCGGCGCTGCGGGCGCCGCTCCCGCTGCTTCGCTAACCGTTTCTGGCTGGTGCGGCGGCGCCGCGTTTGTGTCCGAGGAAGCGCTGCTGGGCTCCGAATGCCTGAGCTCCGAGATGGTGCCCGCCGATGCTGTCTGCGCGGCCATGAACATGCGCTGGTGGGCGGCGGCCAAGGCGCTGCTGCCGCGGCTCGCTTCCGACGGCAGGCCCGCTGTGCGCTCGCACGCGCAGGCGGTCAAGGATGGCTCCGCGGGTCTGATTGGGCTGGTCCGGCGCGGCGGCTCGGACGCGGGGCTGCTCGTCCGCCCCGCCGTGTCCTGGGCACAGAGCCATGAGGCGGTGCACGTGCGCGTCCGCTTCTCTCCCAAGAAGCACGGGCCGGTCTCCGCGTCGAAGATCGAGTCGCCAGAGGTGCGCGTGGGGGCGGCGGCGATTGGCTTCAGCGCGCACGCGCGCAGCGTCAACTCGGGCAAGCGGCTCGACTTTCGGCTCGAGTTGCCGCTCAACGCGAGCATCGACGAGGAGAGCAGCACGCACGCGCTCGCGCCCGGCCGGCTGACGTTCCGGCTGGCAAAGGCGGAGCCGGGGCAGCGGTGGAAGGCGCTCGCGGCGTCGCCAGGGGAGGGAGAGGCGATCGAGTACGGCCACGTCGGCGCGTGGTTCGAGGAGCAGGAGCGGCTCGACGGCGAGGCGAAGAAGCGCAAGGCGGCGAGGGAGAAGAGCGAGGCAAAGGCAAAGGAGGCGGCGGAGGCCAAGGGCGGCGAGGGCGAGAAGCCGGCGCCAGCGAGCCCGACGCCGCCCAGCAGCAGAAAGGAGAAAAAGAAACGGGCGAAGGCCGCGGGCGCCGGCGCCAGCTAGGTCAGGCGTGTCGAGTTGTAGGCGGCGGCCGGGCGGAGCAAGCGGAGCAAGGGACGGGGCGGCAAGGGGCCCACCGCGCCGGCTGGGTTTCTGCAGACTCTGCAGCAAGCCTGGGATCGATTGCGCGCCTGGCTGTTTGGCACCGCCCTTCGAGTGTCGTGAGCGTCGACCACGGCCAGGGAACGAGGTTTTTGGATTTTGTAGCACACCCAGTCGCAGAGGTGCGGCTGGGGGGCGCGCCGTGGGGCGAGAGCCCAGATCAAAGCGACCATTTATGTGTTGTATGTGTTGCACATGTTTGAACTTATTGCAATAAACTAATTTCGCGGACTCGGCGGCTCTCGAGGTCTCGGGCCCAAGAGCCAAGAGTGATAAGAGAAAGATTATCGTTCAACGTAGAAATTATTTCTCAGTGTGTGCGGCTCTAACTCACTCTCCCAAAAGATTAATTCTCGCGCACTTTACTCTTAGCCTAGGAGACCGGTCTGCCCCACCACAAAATGAGCGATTTGAGTTTTGGGACGGCCTACTACTTCGCGCCTGAGCCCTGGCTGTCAGGCTGTCAGGTGCTGTCAGGTGATCTGTCGGGCTGTCGGGCAGCTGTCAGGCACTGTCAGGTGCCTCTGTCAGACCAGCTGTCGGGTGCTGTCAGTGCTGTCGGGTGCTGTCGGGTGCGTGTCTGACATCAGAGGGGATCTGTAGCTGTCGGATGCTGTCGGAGCTGTCGGGTGTTGCTGTCAGACGCTGTCGGAGCTGTCAGAGCTGTCAGGCTGCTGCTGCTGTCAGACGTTGGGCTGTTGCTGTCAGGTGCTGTCAGGTGGTGCTGTCGGGATGCTGTCAGGCTCTGACACACACCAGCCACACTTATGACATTATCAAGAGGAGACCAGCAGGACTCTGCTGCACATACTCTAGTCTCTACTCTGCCTCCGGTCCCACCATCTTCTTCATGGTGGACGTCACCATCTTCTTGTCTGCCGCACTGAGAGAATAGCAGAGAGGGAGGGTGGAGTGCTTCTTCAGGTACACCTTGCTGATGATCTGGTAGTTGCTGGTCCAGCGGAAGGCCTCCCCATCGTTGTCGCTCGTCAGCTTGTAGTACTTGCACGCTCTGTTCTGGTAGCGCGGGCCCGCCGTCTGGGGGGGTCCCGTCACCCTTCACCTCACGGTACCACCGGAGGATAAAGAGGTCCTTGGGGGCGTTGATGAAGACCCCGTTGCTGCGCTGACTCTTCGAGAGCTGGCGCAGGTACTCTGCGCTCGAGCTGCCAGTGGCGCGGCGCGCGTCTACCGTGCCGTCGGCGACGGCCACCTGCTCGATGTTGCCAATGGCAAAGACCTTGGAGCTGTCCTCCATGGTGAAGAGCACCGCAACTGCGGAGAGAAAGAGAAGAGGGAGAGATGAGAATGCACGTCTTATGTGTGTGTGTGACAGGCGGCAAGGGCGTGGTCACCGTCATCATCATCCATGTAGAAGTCGAGCTCCTCATCCACATCCTCGCCTCGCTGCTGATGGGACTTGATGAGCCGCTTGACGTGGAAGCGGAGCTTGCGATCCTTTGACTCCTCCTGGATGGAGACGTTGAAATCTGCCAGCAGCTTACGGATCTCCTCAAAAAACTCTGCGCTGCTGCCCTCCTCGCCGCCGGTTGGAGGCGCCACGTTGGCCCCCGTCCGCATCAGCTGGTTCAGCACGGCCTCGGCATCTGCAGCATCCTGTGCGCCCATGGCGGTCAGCTCGGCCGGCTCAGCATCGGGTGTGCCGTTTGGATCATCCTCCTCCTCTCCCGGCTCCTCCAGCAACGCGCCACCCTGGACATAGGTGTCAGCCAGAGGAAAGTGCAAGCACGGCTGCTTGAAGAAGCCGGTCTGTGCACAGAGGTTAGCGCGGACTCCACAGAATCGAAGGCGCGGACCACATACACATGTCTTTGCATGTAATAGTTTTGCTATACCCTCATGGGGCACAAGAAAGAGGCTGCACGGCCTGAGTACGGTCTGTGCTGCTGTCGGGCTGGTCGGGCTGTCGGGCTGTCAGCGCTGCTGTCAGGCCGCTGTGTGCTGTCGGGCTGTCGGGCAGCTGTCAGGCTGTCACGTTAGGGCCTGACAGCGACGGGACGCCTCTGATGTCAGGCTCTGCTGTCAGGCTGTCAGAGACGTGCTGTCAGACTGTCGGAGAAAGTGCTGTCAGCGCTGTCAGGCTGTCGGGCACTGTCAGGCGCTGTCCGGGGTTTGCTGTCAGGCTGTCAGACCAGGGCTCAGCTTCGCGCTCGGCCTGCTCGGCTTGCGCGCGCGCGCGCCGCCTCGCCCGAGCGCAGCCACCTGCGGACCTGGCCAGCCTGTTCCTGGCTCGTGCCCAGCCTCTCCTTCGGCTGCTGCTGGCCTCGCAGTCCCGCCTGCCATCACGCTGCAGAGCCTGCGCGAGACGCCACAGATAGGGGGTAGACAGCGTCCTAATCTAAAATCCGAGGATTAAGGATTCAGGCATCGCTTCGGTGAGGCCAAAGTGAGTTTATGGATGTGTGAGAACGGTACGGAACGCGAGGAGTCACGCGGACCGACTCGTCGGTGACTCTGCTGCACGCCGTTCCAGATTTTTTCTCAGTGTGAGCGAGACGTGGAAGAGTGCCACCGTCGGGTAGGACGGGTCGGAAGGAGTATCAGAGTAGCCGTTGTGGTCGCGGCGAGCAGCGCCGGCCACTCCGGCGCCGCGTCGGCAACATGGGAGCATGTCCACCGCCACTTCGCGGTCGCAGCGCTGTTGTCGCCCAAAACGCCGCTATGTACCTTTTCGGGCAAACCATCGAGCTGCATGTCGATTTCGACTTGACGGCAGCATGGAGGCATCACGTCTCCATGCTGCCGTCAAGTTGGAGCCAGTCTGCGGCGACCACAGCGCTCAGAAAGGTACATAGCGAGCTTTTCAGAGTCAAGCGATCCCACACTGGGCGGCTGAGGGCCAAAAGCAAAACGCGCATCGCCACTCTCGCATCTCACAGAGCGGTGTTATATCTCAGTAACCCCGCTCGATGGTGCTAGAGCAGCGTTCTTCAAGCTTAAACCCCACTCTACACAACACAGAGCAGCGTTTGCCTAACTAACAAGACTCCGCTCTGCAACCTTCAGAGCGGACTCTTGCTCAGAAAAACACCGACCAAACACGTTCGAGCGTAGCAGCGGGGTTGCTGAGATAGAACACGGCTCTGAGATGTGAGAGTGGCGTTGCGCGTTTTGCTTTTGGCCCTCAGCCCACACTGGTGAATTTTGGGGCGCTGTCTACCCCCTACCACAGACGCCAGTTCTGCCCATCCGCAAGTATCCCTACGAGGGCCGCCCCGATGGGGCGATGGTCGTGATGCGCCTGAGCGCTGGCTGTCAGGCTGTCAGGTGCTGTCAGGTGATCTGTCAGGCTGTCAGGCACTGTCAGGCACTGTCAGGTGCCTCTGTCAGACCAGCTGTCAGGTGCTGTCAGTGCTGTCAGGTGCTGTCGGGTGCTATCGGGTGCTTGTCTGACATCAGAGGGGCTCCGTAGCTGTCGGGTGCTGTCGGAGCTGTCGGGTGTTGCTGTCAGACGCTGTCGGAGCTGTCAGAGCTGTCAGGCTGCTGCTGCTGTCAGAGCGACGCCGGTGCTGTCAGGTGCTGTCGGTTGGTGCTGTCGGGGTGCTGTCAGGCTCTGACACACTATCCACACTTATGACATTATCAAGAGGAGACCAGCAGGACTCTACTACACATACTCTCAGCCTCTCCTCCTTCACGGCGTGATCACGCCGCCGGCGGCGGCCGCCTGGGGAGCGCAGATGGCGGCGCAGGCGCAGGCGGCGGCGGCGGCAGCGCGGCACAGACGGCGGCGGCCACCCCACCCAGACGCCGTAGGCATATGATTGTAGGGCCCCAGAAGGCTAGCTGGTAGCTTCATTTGTAGTAGCACAGCCGCCGGTGCTAGAGAGGGGTCCGCAGAGGTGGGGCGGGAGGGACGGAGGGTTGAGAGAGAGTCCCAAGACCAGCCCATGACTCACATGCACAACATGACATGTACATGTACATGTTGTTGTTGTTGTGCATGTGCATGCACCACACTCACATGTGCATGTCTTTGCATGTTTTGTTATACCCTCATGGGGCACAAGAAAGAGGCTGCACGGCCTGTGTACGGTCTGTGCTGCTGTCGGGCTGGTCGGGCTGTCGGGCTGTCAGCGCTGCTGTCAGGCCACTGTGTGCTGTCGGGCTGTCAGGCAGCTGTCAGGCTGTCACGTTAGGGCCTGACAGCGACGGAGCCCCTCTGATGTCAGACTCTGCTGTCAGGCTGTCAGATACGTGCTGTCAGACTGTCAGAGAAAGTGCTGTCAACGCTGTCAGGCTGTCGGGCCCACTGTCAGGCGCTGACCTGTCCGGGTTACTTTGCTGTCAGGCTGTCAGACCAGGGCTCAGTGATGCGCTTGACGGGCCACGACAACGAGCCAGCGCTGGTTGGACATGCGCTCCGTCAGCTCGCCCGAGGCCTGCTGCCTTCTCCAACTTGTCAACGCGTCCGGCAGCTGCGGCAAGACTTCTGCCTTGGCCACCCTTCTTGCTGAGGCAGCAGGAGGAGATCCGCTATCGGTCGGCCAGCGCGTCGTGGTGCCCTTCTCCTGCGGCCCGCCATGAGCGGCACCAGGACGCCACGGACGTCGTCAACAAGCAC